CCAAACCACTTTGGATAGTATAGGAAAGTGTTGCAGAATTAGGCGCATGCTGAAAAAATTCTGGCAGCTTACCAAGTGAAATTGCAGAGCTCGAAAACGTGATGAACACAAAAGACTGGTTTAATTGCCACTTTAAAAACGTGACTAACTTCGAAATAGCATGATAGTGAAATGTAACCGCTTCGTTTCCTGCTTTGTAGGTCTGATGAATTAATTCGTAGAGATGGTGGAGTTTCCATATACATAAAAACCGTCTTAACCACAGTAGCTGCCGCGATAGCTGCGCACGACTCAAAAGCATGCGAATCGGTGCGTTTCTGAACGAAACGGAAGTAGTCAGACATTTAACTGGTGGTTGTGTACCACAGTTCAAAACATATGATGGATGACGTCCTTCTAAATTAATCCTGATCAGAAGTGTTCAAAAGCACCCTCTGTAAATTTTGGAAAACTGGAAGAAGAGTAATCGAAAACGTTGCCTAATAATGAGCTGCTAGTAATCGCGATTGCCTTAGCTTTATTCCGGCAATTAAGAGATCTCATCAGATATGACCCACGAAACTTCTTATCTGTCTTAAAACTTGTATTCACTCACGTTGTTATTGCTAGTCTGGTGTGTGGGACTCTTTCAGCAAAACATAGTTGATGAAGCCAGTAGGCTATTCTGAGGGAAAGGAGTAAATAGAAGCATGGAACAACTACCGAGACGCAATAGTTACTCTTGCGGTTCTTGTAGATTCTGGTGCTTCTGGTATCACTTCTTGTTCTGTGATGGATAACCATTTGTGTGTGGCGTAATGATGATTCATTATTCACTAACTGGTTGTCAGTTTTTCGTGGCATTCAGGGTATTGGTATTTCTTCAGGCTTCCCTATGTACTTGCTGTCGCGTTTTCAGTTCCTCTGGGTGTTAATATTAATGTGCTTGTCGTTACTTGGATTCACTTAGTATATCACGAGTTGGTGTGCTTTTTGAGTCCTCATGGAGTTTTAAAGGTCTTCTAAGGGTCATTTGAATACCTCCTGGGGTATCAGGCCTACGTGCCGGAGATGGCGACCGTTTCTGTAATAAATGTTTATTTTCTTGATTGTGACAATAGTCGCTGGTAGTCGTTATTGCCGCATTTGTGTGTGACGTCATACTTGTCTGTTTTTCAGGGTTATGATCACAACGACTTGATTTTTATTTTCGCTGAATGTGTTATCTATTCCTGAGTAAGTCAATTATCAAGTGGATCCAGACCGTGTGTTATTTGTCGTAGCCATCATTTTATGTGAGATGGTTTTCTGCCGTGGCTGTTGCTATCTATATGGTTGTATGAAGACCTCCCCACTAGGTTATTTGGTCTACCATGTGCTGTATTCCACAGGTTTAACTCGTTTTTCAGTATCATCAGTGCAGGGTTAGAGGGTGTTATGCTTTTATGAGGTAGGGTAATTGTAAATTATAAATTGTGTTTTATTATTGGTACCCAATGTCATTCTTTGAGCAATATATATGACTGCTCCGAATCTAGTCCAGTCCTTTTTTGGGCTATAAGCTCATGACCATAGGCGTAGATGGGGATTATCGAATAACCCATCAACCTAATTTTTGTTCATAGTCTCATGTGCGCCGAGCGTAGTGTCGGTTTGACTTCAATTATCGCTGTTTCCGTTTCACCGATATCTGGTTTGATCGTATCGTCAAGAGTCCCATCATTTATTATGAATGATCCGAGGTAGTCCAGTGTTATTACTTCCTAGGGCTTTTGATTGACTTTTGCTATTTTGAGGTCACTACTCTGTTTATTAATTAACATAACTTTGGTTTGTCATGGTGCATTTGCATTCCAAGTCTAGCCAGGTGGTTTTGGAGGGAAAGTGAGGGGTTTTGTGATTTAACCAGATGTTGTTGTGGTGGAACATATGTCATCTACATACACAGTGTGCAGCAATGTCCAGATTGTGTTGTTGTTATCAATTAGTTTATCGTACGTAGTTTTCAGTCTATTGTGCAACTGGGAGTTTTTTAAACGCGTGGTTAGCCTTATCTATTTCCTTGTCTTACTCTGTGGATGGTACAGTGTAAATATGAGTCTTCTTGGTGACTCTTGGGATGATTCGGCAATTTAACAGTGGTTTTGATGAAATTTGCAGTGTTTTTAGAGTCGGATTTTTGTAGATTGCCAAAATCTTTAGTAAGGTCAGTGAAGATAATTATTAGTTCTTGAGTGATGTTCAGGGTACATTATGTTTTGTGCCTTACCATCGTGATCCCATGTAGTATAGTAAACAGATGTTTTCAAAATCGAAGTTGGGTCGGCCGAAGATTTCCCTGGTTGACTGTCTCAGACATTCACAGCTCATCCCAGTAAATGTTCTTCCTATCGCATCAAGTGTAGTGAACGGGAACACAAGTGAAGACAACCAAGTGTGTTTGAACACAAAATTACAGAGCATATTAATGAAATCTGAGAACCATACGGTAAATAATTGATTTGCAAAATTTCGATCAAGTGTCTCAGACCTCATAGTTTCTTTGTTTCCACACCAACGATTCTCTGTACTTGTTATCTTTTCTTCGGTTTTATTAAACTTCTGCCTCCAGACATTTCACTTCCGATCGATGACACACTACTTATATCTGTTCACATCGGCAGCAAACACCACAGGTTTTCTTGATTGTTTGTTTCAGACATTCACAGATCATTACAGTAAATGTAGCGACCGAACAGCCAATATTCGGTTAGAACAACGGACTGACGAACCCAAAATTTATTCGATTAGACCAGACCAAGTTCCTCTGTATAGCTCACAACGCGTCTTTGAGATACTCGTATTATATTATATCAAAACACAAACTCTGTGCTCAATATAAACGGTTATAATTGAGAAAACAGAACAAATTACATCAAAAATGCAAACTACCTCAAACGGTACAGCCTGTGTTATACAGTCAGAAGTTTCTCTAACGCAAAGTGGAGCGCTAAACAATGAAAGAGACAGTTAATACTAAAGGGTGTGATACCTGAGAATCAATCCAAATATGCCCATCAAGATTGGATCAATTATCTATCTGCAGGGATTGCAGCAATTCTCCCAAGCAGACAGTCAGAAGGTTAACAGTCACAAACTGAACCACGCCGTGACCTTGAACTTACTCAAACACGACCTTACTGTCAATGGTCCGGCAACATGCAATAAAAAATTAGGTAACAAAAGATTAGTCTCTAATCAAAATCACATAATAAAGGCCCAAGCGAGGAAGACTGAAGAACAAAAGATATGGTTAAGCGAGATCTGAACAAAGGTTAAAATACACGACAGGGAGAAGAAACAAGTAGATGACAATACTGTTCAACAAAGAAGCTGCAGAGGGATTTTCATCGTTTTCTTTCCGTTACAGTAAATGTCTTTCTTGTCGCATCAAGTGAGACTATAGTTTGATAGTTGTTGGGATCATTGCGTAACACTTTGTTTCTGTATATTTTGAGGACGTCTACAACTAACCACTTGGCTATAATTGCATCTGTGAAGGCATAAGAAAAAATACTGGGGAAAAATGTAAAAAGCTTCAGCTCAAATAGAATCAAAAGATCAACAAAATATATATCTGGGCGTTTCAATAAGAATAAATCACTACAGTGTGTGCGCGGAGGGGTTTTCATACTCAAAACCTTCAGAGTGGACCTTACAAACCCATAGACGGTAGCCTAATTTTGCTTAGAACATGAACAGCTATTGTTGGACCTTGTTGGTACCTCTTGTCCAGCCTCACAGTGGTCTCGGGCTAGCAGTGGGTCACAATCTTGGACCATAGCTCATTGACGTGCGACCGTAGATCAGGGGTTCAGAACCCTATGATCTTTACGACGGGCACTTGCCAAGTTGGATACTAATATGTTCACTACAACATAAGCGACCTTAATGAGATCCAAACTTAAAAACTGCGTCCAGTCTTCAAGCTCCTAATCAAAAGGAGAATCGGATATCCTAGAAAAAGTACAGAGTGCAGATACTCGTGTAATTCCGGAACTCTGGAGTTTACTACACCAAGAGCGGCTTGGGAAGCCAGATTCCTCAACTATGTTCAACCGCAGATTAATAGGTGATCTGATTCTGATTCGCGGGGCACGAAGAAGTAGTTTTGCACGTGATATATTTTCTCTTTTATTTCTACTTGGTCACAAAATCTCAGAGGACATTACTTGCGAGTAGAAAAGCCGTGAACGGATAAAGTACTTGTGGTACTTCGTTTCCACATCTCGTCACCAATTATTGAAACCTCCCTCTCGAAGACGTAGTGCTGGCAATTTCAGCTGACTCATCCAAAAAAATATGAGACACCCTCAGAAGATAGAAAATGACTGAAACAGACCATAGGCCTTATGTCATCAATACACATCTGAAAATTTTGAATATGGTTCAAATGGTTGTGGATGGAAAATAAGAAGCTTTTGCTTAACGGGCTTCCGGTCTTAGTAGCAGTGGATCACCGATACTCCCAGGCAGGAACATAGGTATATTAACGATAATAGAGGAGAAAAAAGGAAAGAAATTGGTAAATCATCGTAAGATGTTATGCTTAGTCCTTAAGAATAGGCCAAGTTTCCTCTTAGAGGACTCATGTGACGTCGCTTGGACTAGTTCAGTCGGCAGAGAATTCCAGCGTTTGACAACTCTCATGGAGTAGAAGTTGTGTCTACAGTCCTTTCTGCTGTTGTATCTCCAATTTCTGGGTGCTACCCCTTAGGTTTGTATTAGGACTAAGCTCAAGTAGGTGCTTAAGGGGATGTCCAGAAGTGTTAAGGATACTGTTAGCCATTAGAAGGCCACCTCTAAGACGCCTATACTCTAATGGGTAAAAGTTAAGGGATTAGAGGCGCTCTTCATAAGGTTAATGAAGAACACACACAATTGAATTTGCGTCAGAAAATTAAGCAAAGTTTTTTTTTCTTAAAGCTCTGTTTAAAACCACTTAAAGTCGTTCTTTTATGCTCTTAGACAGACTAAAGATAGAGGTTGTAGGGTATGAATAAACGCGCACTGTTTGACATATGCGTAATTTCACTCACAAGTTGTTTGTGTAACGTGTTAAGAAGCCGACTTTACTAACATTCATTTTCGATTGTCAGATCATTTTAATCTCACTTCCGCAATACTGGTAATTTTTTTGATTACTTTGACTAATAAACACGTGCATCATATGTATCTACTAAGTCGTTCGTTCACTGCTATTTTTTTCTTGACCAGATTACTTTTCATACGCTACTCTATACAATTTCTTTACATACTTTCAGGCTTCAAACAAGATCCCAGATACTCAAATCCCATTGGAAGACTTACTCAAGGCGTTTGTTGCCGTCTGGTCGCGTTGCATACCACACTTATAATTGTATCATATCAATATCAATTGATATTGAGTTGAAAAATGGCAAGTGGCATGATAACATTAATAGCCGAAAATCAAAGTTTTCTAGTAAGTTGTCTATTTCGCTCAATTTTCACGAATTCAGTAACCCCGTAGTATTTGGATATGAATAGTTTAGTTTGCAGGCATACATGTAGGCTTACAATTGCGATTTATATAAGCCATAATCGCCATCCTTGTGAAATAGTCGATGGCAGTTTTTGTTGGTGTTTTATGACCGAAAATTTATTTATTATGACGTTGATACCGTCTTGGATCTACTACCTAGAATCATTCTGTATCCCATCTGTTTGCTTCTTGTTAATCCTTGATCTTCGCCTAGCTTTTTTGTGCTATCATAAAGTGCCTTGAAGGATCGTTTGCCAATTTCAAAGACTAATCAGTTAATACCCGAACTGATTATACTTAAACTCACTTTTAAGTAAGCGTTCAATGTCGATGTATGTAGCCATTGATGTAAATGTACTCACTCAATTATATGGCTGTTTGAATAAACCCTGCAAATCTTTTTTAATCAAAAATCAGACAGCTAATTATGGGCTAACAATTATCCAGGTATTGAGAGGAGTTGGAACACTACAAATATCATCCGGATGAGACAGGGTTAAGTGATTTGCGGAAAAAGTCAGGTGATGGCTGGTTATCGAATTTCGTTTTGCCCCAAACATACTGGTGATAAATATCTTTCAATTAACATTGTGATAAAATGGAGTCCTTTTGTTGAACAGACTAACGTCGTTCCTAATTTTATGGATTGTGGGTAAGAATGTAGCTCATTTATTTCTAAGTTCTAGTTGAGTTGTACTTGAATATGACTCATACAGCCTGTCAAAAACCAGCTGTCATCTAGTCACTACTCTGGACCATGGTACTTACTTGCGCTTGTTACTCCCAATTGAGCATAGGCCGCCGACCAGCATTCTCCAACCCACTCTATCCTGGGCCTTTCTTTCTAGGTCTATGCAATTTTTGTTCATTCTTCCTATGTCTGTTTCCATTTCTCAGCGTAATGTGTTCTTTGGTTTTCCTCTTGCCCTTCGGCCTTGAGAATTCCAAGTGAGGACTTGTCTTGTGACGCAGTTGGGTGCTTTCTTCAATATGTATCCTATCCACTTCCAGCGCTTCTTCCCGATTTTTTTCCTCGACTGAAATCTGGTTCTTTCTCTCCCACAGTAGGTTGTTACTGATATTGTCTAGCCAACAAACCTGAAGTATTTTGCGTAGACAACTGTTAATAAACACTTGTATCTTGTGGGTGATGGCTTTCGTAGTTCTCCACGTTTCCGCCCTATATAGTAGAACACGGTAGATATAGTGGTATTGTAACTCATGCTATTTATTTATTTTATTTTATTTTAACACATAGACATTGGTACAAGGAGGCACCAAATACATATGCGCCACACAAATCTCATTCGATATGTGTGAGGGCTGTGATACTGCCCGGGTGCCCAAACCGAAGCAGGTGGTTTTTTTAGGGGGCCACACCCCGAGCCTTTGACCTGAAGGTCTGATCCACAAGGCAGTGGAGCATCGTGAGGAAATGCAGTTCCATGGAAGCCGGTGACTTGAAAGTAGAATTTAAAATTAATCTAATACTACCCTAACACTCCCTAGAAGATACGTTATTTATGTTAAGGTTATTGATGCGTTGAGCGAAATTAGAAGTAATGTATACCACCAAATATCATCCTTACACTGAGTATGAAATCTTTCCAAACTTTCACGCGATAATAAGCGTAGATACATTGTCTGTGTAGTTATTGGACTGTTTACCATGTGTTACAAAACGTTTATAACGTTAGAGTGGGATTTTGGCATAAAATATTTCGTGTTTTTTTAAATTGTCTATAACTTAATTTAAACGGTGTATTTATCTGTGAAAAGCAGTGTACGTTCTCATACGTAGCAAACGTCTACTCATATAGCTTTACTTATAAGAAAATGATGAGTAGCTAGATTTCACCGAACTGATTCCTGTTTTACTAACTGTAAACATTAAGTCACAGTTTAATAGTTACTTCTGGGGTTAGATGATTGAGATTAAGTTTAGTGCCGGTTCAACATGAGCTGTCGAATGTTGTACATAAACAGACTACTCTTTTAAGTTAGTTGCACTCTTTAAATCAGTTCCATCCCATTGGTCATTCAATAATTAGTTTTCTGTTCATTTCAGGTACCTCGTGATGTACTAACTAAATCTAGTCTGTATTTTTATGCTGCTTTTGAGAGCGGTATGACTGAGAGCAAAACCAGCCAGTTCAGTTTTCCTAATTTCACTGCTCACCAGTTAGCTATGGTTGTTCAGTTTCTGCGACCTGAATTAACTATTCAGGATGATGCTTTAAACAACCATAGCAGTGGATTAAATAACTCTTGTCCAGAAACGCTGAAAATTTTAGAAGCTTTGGATTTGGCTGATGCAGCAGATTACTTTCAAATGCCCAAACTTATTCAAACTTGTATGCAGAGAATATCTCATATCATGAACGAGTTATTTCAACCTAAATCCATTCAACTTCATGAATCACATAGCTGCGATATATTCTCAATAATATTAAAAGAGTTTGCGAAAGTGTCCCACTGTGAAAATGGTTGTGTTAACAAACTTTTTTCTGAATACACCATAAAATACCCTCATTTTATCCTCAGACCATGTCTTTCAGATTCAAACTTACAGCATCTTCTTATTAATTTGGCTATAAGCTATTTGTCGAAAAGTGTCATATGCATACCAGACGAAGACATAATTTTAAATATTGTTCTTAGCTGGTTACAGATATTGAAACCAACTGAGTTTTATACAGAAAATACTGTTCAATGCTTTTTGCAATGCGTTCGTCCCGGCCTTCTTTCACTAGACGGTCAAGAAAGGTTATTAGATTATTGGCGCAACCAACATTCTGAGTTGAAGTGGTTTGGAAAGCTGACATGTGCAGATATGGAGGTATTTTTTAAAAGTATTCCAAATGGGGGAATCTTTTGCAAGTCTCCGTTAGCTTCTCAACTCCAGCTTTTGCTAGTAAAGCCTAGAGCCGAATCTCTGTGTTTACTTGGGTTAGCTCCAAGTCGTTCTAGCAACTCATTAGAATTTTGGCTTTTCAATCTTCACAATGGAGCTTATCATAACTACCCCATACCTGATAATTGTCTGCGGGAACTTGATCTGGACTCCTCTGGTGTTGGTGACATAGATCATCGCATTTACTTCTGTCCAGTAACGTACGGATCCGGTTCTTATCAAAGTAATTTGTTTGTTATGTGTTTTGATCCAAACAATGCAACATTAAATGGCTTTGCTTGGTGTTTGGCTTCTTGTCGTGCAAAACTCATCCCTCGTTTGCTTCTTTCTCCCACGAACAACAGAAATGGTACTATCAATTCTTTCTGCTTCCGATCTAGACGAATCGGTGTAGCTACGTTGTCCAGTGGTCTTTACATGTATTATCTTTCTTGTATACAAGAGGTCGCATGGTTGTGTGCATTTCGATTTGATCTGAGCACTTGGAACTGGTATGGGATGGAACCTTATTGTTTGTCTAGGAACCAGAATGGGATGATGTTATTTACACCAATCGAACAGTTAAATTCTATCCCACCTGACGACTGGGTATACGCTAATATTGAGACAGTTTCGTCGAATAACTCCAGACACCCACGTCACGGGCTTCATCAAACTTCAGCACTTCGGTCACAGTTCTTTCGATTTCGTCCGCGACCTGATGGAAATGCACTATTTGTAGAGAATCTACCTAATCCACCTTTCCTCATCAGAATGTACCGTTTGCTGGCTATCAGTTGCTCTCTGCAAGGTAACTTTAGTGGTAAGTTCTTTGTTTATTATTAAGTATTATTTCTGTTCATTTGTGATAGTTTGTCTAGATTCCCCTCACCTATTACCAGTATGTTTTTAAAATACTGATAAATAAAAATTTTCTCTCTACTAAGAAATACATTCAAAAACACCCGAAGGATGTTTGTCTTCTTTTCTGTTGTGTTGTTATCGACCTTCAACATTAGTTTTTCTGGTGTGTGATACTTGCATGCACGTTCATTTCAAGTTTTGAAAGCTTCTACTGAATAGATCATATGAGATCAGATAATAATCTCCATATACTCACATGTTACATAAATTGCTTGTTTTACTGGTAAATCGTAAACTGACGTTATATACCGCATAGTACTGAAACCATTTATTGTTTATTTAGGGAAAAGTTAGTGAATGGGTTCTTACTCGAAAACCTTAAGATCTTGTCATAGAATCCTGCCAGGTTGAACTCATTGGTTGGGTTTGGTAACTTCTGGTACCTGTTACAGTCCATCTGAATCACTGGTTACGAATGGCTTGGTGTTTGATAAAAAATATGTGCTGGACGGTTTTCTGCTTAACAATATGCAGGGCAACTTTAAACATCGGGTAACCGTCTTATCAATTTTGACCATACTTCCCCCATCTCGACCAGTTACTACCAATCTACTTCAAAAAGAGGATATTCAGATGCGACTCCATCTTCTACAGTCCAAAATCTCTAAACCTCTTACCAAAGACAGGCAAGATTATTGGTCAAGGATCTGACAGTTCTTTTTGGAAAGGTTTACTAAATGGAATGTTCCATTACTTTTAATAATGCACTGATCTTCAAAATAGTCTTTTATGGATGTGATAAATATTAGGTTATACTTCTACCAGTCTTATATCGGATATTAGCTTTTGTTATGTCTGTTACAGATAGTGTAAAACATGTAGAAGAAAAATCGGTTTTCATGGGGCAAACTAATTTTCGCTCAAATTGGGAATTTGTTATACCTATTTTCACCATCCGAATATTGGACTTTTATCTCATCTGTTTCAGGCCAATAATCCGTACTTTACAGTCAGTCACTTTACTCAAATTGTCTGTTGAAGAAACATATGATTGAAGTTCGGTAGCATTCTGAAAGCTCAAAAAAGAGATCTGTGATGAAACAGGGACATTCAATCATTTCTCTGTATGATTCTGAACACTAAGGTTTAAAAGGACTACCCAATCCTACTGGTTTCCTCCGATTTTTTCATCTATGATATGCTATAAGTAGCTCTAAAAGTGTCACGTTTTATTAACACATTTCTGTTTTAGATAAGACTTATTTGTTTCCTATGGGGACTTGCTCTCGTGATTTAGAGGCTACACACTATTGTTTTGACACGTTTTCCTGCCAATGGCTTCGATGGAAACCGGTTCAGACGTCAGATATCGATGAGTTAAATCCCATTAGACAACATCCTTCTGAAGACATTGAGCTAACGTTTAATCTATGTCCTAAAATTCTTGGTTTTCGTGGTCTTGTTTGTGCTACACACATTTTGAATAGATTGGATGAAAACAAGTTATTATTATCTCGAGAAACTTACGTTCAGAACCCTGATGGTGTTAAATCAAACGATCATCCACTTTCCTCATTCGTAAATGGTTCAAGCTATAATGGAAGCTTAAATTCTACAAATGAAAATAGATTAACAACATTGTTGGTTTTAGCTGGTAGACCGGATCAAACTAAACATGTGATATCTGGGATATGGTTTCATCACCCTCAAGCTTGTAATAGTTCGGACGAAACAATTGGATTATTCAATTCTCAAAAACCAAATTATTTTCTACCAACTGCAATCGCTCAAACCCTGGGACAATACCTTTCCCCAACAGCAGTTGTATTGGCTAACTGGACACATATTGTACAATCTGTAAATCCTATCGCTTTTTTAACTAATTATTCTAAACAAGAAAACTGTGAACTAAACAAATTCTCATATATTTACGGAAACTTTCCTGAAAGCTCCAACTGGTCATGGGATAGTGACTAAACAACAAATTTTTCTTGTGATAAAAGATAAGTTAGTCCATAATTGCATTTTTTAAAATTGTATATTGGTTAGTGCAATATGCAAAGGAAATCGTTGTATCATATATCACTTCATTAGATCCACTAGTTCCTCGTTTTCACAGTTATTCCCACTGTTGCATTTATTTTGTACTTCCAAGAGTTAACTTTTATATATTTTAATGTGCGTTAAGTTGATTGTTTATATTTTATGTAAGTGCCTTTATTTCCAGATTTAAAATTCCCAGTCAGTATTCTTGTAATATCTTATTTTATTTATCTCCCATTTAATATTACCCATATGTAAAATGTGTTCTGTGTCCTACATGATATATTTTTCATTATCCATACCTCATTTAAGTAGAAACCTTTGATAGTACAACCCACTTATTTGCTTTATCAGCTGTAGTTATTTTCTTAATAGATTTTAATTTCACCTTAATTTAAGAAAACAGTTTCAGAACCATTGAGTTGTAATATATTTGCCTAACCGATCGACATAGTTATGACAGTAGCATTAAGAGCCTCCATAGTATGAAATTTCAGTGTTCTCACCCCAAACTTTAAGTTTTCGTTGTAATTCTTATCATCAGGAGCCTTCATCTATGAATATAAACTATTGAGAAACTTACTGTAACAAATAATATACTCTAAACTGTCTGATTTTTCTTAAGGGAATGTTACAAGAGTCTTACGTTTCTGTGACCAAGAGCACACCTAATCTACCCAGGCACGGGACCTAAGGAACAAATAATTAACTAAACCTGCCAAGAAAAGTTACGTTGAACATTCTAAATATAGTCAATATTTCAACTAGACGGTTCAAAATAAAACCTGAAAACATTGGCCTGATTATTCTAGAAAAAGAAGTGTGTTTGCACAATTTATTCAGTATTTCAATTTTTTATTATCACTTGAGTTTGACTATTTTGTGGGAATATTTGACATGACTAGGTCATTTAAGTAGTGATTTTTGAATAAGTCGCACGGTGAATCTGAGTTTCCATCTTTCTAGTGAACGTTATTAACGTATGACTCCTTGATGTCGTCTAAGGTTAAAGTTTTTACTCTTGAAGATGTCAGAAAACACAATAAGCCAGATGATCTCTGGATTGTGATTCACGATAAAGTATACGATTTGACAAAGTTCGCGTCTGAGGTAAGACTACATACAATTACATGTTGCAACAGCAGCTACGATAGTAGAACATATAACTCAAGTCTAAGTTTTACCATACTTATGTTGATAGAAATCTGCTATTCTTTAAGTTGAATGTAGAACATTCTCCATCTCCGGATTTCGGGGAAAGTTTGGGTTTTTCCCGGAAGTCATGTTAAGATTCGTAGTTTAGAAAAAGCCGGAAATCCCCCCAGAAGTTTTGGGGATTGTCCCTAAATAACTTTAAATTTTATGGAGAAACCCCAGACTAGGGGAACTTTTGGGTTTTTTGTCTCATTTTCCCAAACCTTCCTCACAATCGGGAGACTGGATTGAAATATGAAGGGTAAGTTCTTATGTATCTCAGTATCTTTAGTTTCTCAAGCTGGCTCTAGAAACCACATGTCGAAATATGGATATCTTCCCTCCGCATAACGATGACAAATAAAGGTGATACTTTTGATCGACCTCAAGTGACTTTGATAATGTCCACCTACTTACTATGGTCAAATAAGAGCTTTAAATTAGTATGAGAAATTAAAGTTTGCAGCTAAGAATTTAGTTTGTGTTTGTTTAAGAATCCCATCCTAGTTTATATATTAGACCGCGGGTTAACTACGTTATCTATGTGAAATCTGATAATAACAGTTTCAGTTGGATTTAAACCAATTTCTTGGTGATATAGTATAGTACTTAATTCACTGGAAAAGCTACTTCATTACAACAGTCCACTCATTTATTTTAGTTGTCGATATGTTACATTTCCAAACATCCTTCCTGTGTTATTGTACTGGTGTAAAACTTCAAAATGCTACACATTTGTAGGTCAGCAGTACTCGATTACAAGTATCTACAAAGCATTGCCAACGTATTACGCAACCACTGACTTGACAGTGTAGGTTAGCGCATATTACTAGTTTACTATCGTAGCAGACTGGAAAGGTTGTTAACTTTCAACGGAAGTAGGTTGAGGTATATCCTACGCATTAAGCTGCTGCTTTCCGCAGTATCTTACATCGATTGTGCAGTTTGTATGGACCTTAAAGCAACTAACTGCGGTGTCAGTTAACGAAGTCATCAAATGTTAACTCAAATTGTAGTGCGCACTTCTCGATTGGGGTTAACGAGATAACTATTATGTATAGTTGGATACTTGATGTAGCACTTTTCATGACTACAGCTAAAAGACTTCAGTTAAGGAACTCCACATCAGTTTTATGAAAAATGTACTCGAAAGCTACAACTGGATCGCCGCTGGCTTTTATTCTGAGGTATAATTAATACCATATCAAACTGTTAAGGCAAACGGTTTCTAGTACCCCAATCAGGGAGTCACAATAGAACAACAGGTGCTAATCTTATGCGGCTGTCTTTCATACCGCGACACTGTCATAAACTGATCAACTACTTTTTACTCAGTCCCAGCATCTCAAATAATGCGTGATGTAGAGGCAGCTGAGGTAAGAATTCGTAGGGATGTAAATTCATTTGCAATGATGATTGCGAATATCATTTGTATGATTGGTCAGACTCAACTATTCCTTAATATATATGTGTGTCCCGACCGTTGTTGCTACCTTGACGTGGTGGTCGGGCTTGCCTATCGTGATGAAGCAACCGAGCTATACTGGCTGGAACAACCGTTCCTCAAGGTCCTACCATGTCAGACAGGTCGGTTGAAGAGCGGTAAGACTAAAAGCAACAAACCCAAGGTCCGAAGGCGAAGTCGTACTGCTGACTGTACAGAGTTGTGACAGCAGTAAGGTGTTTCCTTCAGACAATCAGCATGACAGCGACGCTGCCTTCCCACAAGGAGGGGTGGGGCTAGAAAAGGTCGACCCTAAAAATGCACACCTCACCTTACCTCACGGATTTCCGTCTCCGGCGGTAAGGCCCTTTTGAAGAACGGAGCTAACACGTCAAAAACCTCCCACGAAAAGGCCGTGCGCGACCGGCCTCAAGCAGTTGTCCCTTGGGCACTGCGGTCACGCTCTCAGGTCACTGAGACCACTTCTAATCCAATTTCCTTTTCAGGTACCTCCAGAAGAACCCTTCCACGGTGTGGGCAACCGGGAAGTGATAACCGCCCTCATACCTCTAACAGCACGCAAGACCACTGTATTCATAATCAACCTTCCTCTTCAATTCCTATTATTCCTCCTACATCGACTTTCAACCCTAAACCTCCTCCTTCGGCTTCCTCCTCAAGTGTCACCATAGCCAACGATTCTAGTGCTCAAAACTCTGTCCCAGGTCTACTGAAACCTCGCTCCAAACTACACATTGGAGCTTTCAACGTACGCACTCTATGTCAAATCGGTCAGCAGGCTTCCTTGGCTAAAACCCTAGAGTCTCTTTCCATTGATGTATGCTGTGTCTCCGAAACACACATACAGGATTCCAGTGTGGTCATTCACTTGACCTCACCTCGGCAAAACGGAGAGCCAACGAGATACACCCTCCGTGTATCTGGTGACCCTATGGCCAGTTCTCGTGGACTGGCAGGAGTAGGGATAGCACTAAGCATGAGGGCGGAACAAGCACTGCTAGAGTGGATCCCCGTCAACAGTCGCCTATGTGCTGTTCGGCTAAACGGCTCCGTAAAAACTCGGAAGGATAGGGACACACGTCGTTGCCTTTTCGTCGTTTCTGCCTACGCTCCCACTGACTGCAGCTCGGATGAAGTGAAAAATGAATTTTACAGAAAGCTGTCCGAACTTCTTCAGAAAGCTAAACGCTCAGATATAGTACTCGTAGGGGGTGACTTTAATGCTCAGATAGGTAGCTTAAACCAAACAGAAAGGCATTTAGGTGGATATTTTAGCATTCCGGCACAGCGAACAGATAATGGTGACCGTCTGCTGCAACTGTGCTCAGACAATCGCTTATTTTTAGCAAACACAAATTTTAAGCATAAGGAGAGACATCGTCTAACGTGGCGACCGCCTGCACCAAACCAACGATGGACTCAAATAGACCATATTGCCATCAGTCATCGTTGGAGAGGGTCGGTAGAAGATTGTCGCTCATTCTGGAGTACCTGCTTGGACTCCGACCACGCCCTAATACGGGCACGCATCTACTTGCGCCTCACTGTACGCAAAAAAGCCACAGTAAAAAGACCCATTAGAACCGAACTGAGTAGCGAGAAAACCATAAGTAGGTTCCAGGAACAACTGAGGTCACGGTTAGGCAGTTCTGAAGACGAGGCTGACCCAGATGTTGCTTGGAATGAAATACAAGCAGCTGTGGAAACAGCAGTGACATCTATTAGCGACTTAAACCACAGAGTTTCAAAGAACCAGTGGATTTCTTCAAAGTCTATCACACTGATGGATTCTCGCAAACTCGTCCCATCAGGTTCTGAACATGATGAAGAGCGAAAACAAATCAGATTTAGGTTAAGAAAAAGTCTAAGAAACGACCGTGAGCAGTGGTGGGCAACGAAAGCAAAAGAGATGGAAAAGGCGGCGACCATAGGGAACACAAGACAGCTTTACAGACTAATAAAAGAAACTGGAATTAATAAGTCAAGTGTAAGTGAGATTATATCGGAAAAAGACGATACACTCATCTGCTCCCAGTCCAGGCGTTTAGAACGATGGGCGGAACATTTCATAGAACAGTTCAGCTGGCCTTCAGCTACTCTACAACTACCTTCCATTCCCAGACAGTGTGAATGGAACATTGAAGTAGGTCCCCCAACTCTTGCTGAAGTTCAAAAGGCTATAGTTAATCTGAAACGAGGAAGGGCAGCTGGTCCAGATGGACTGGCTCGAGAGGTCTTTAAAGATGGTGGTCCAATTTTAGCGATTAGGTTGACTAATATTTTAGCTAAAATCTGGGAGTTAGAAGTTATCCCATCTAACTGGTCACAATCACTTATCGTCCCAATATATAAGAAAGGGTCAAAATCATCCTGTGACAACCATAGAGGGATTAGTTTAACTAATATAGTATCTAAAATACTAGCCTCGATAATTATCAGACGCCTAACTAAGACTCGTGAACTGCAAACACGAGAGAACCAAGCTGGCTTTAGACCTGGTCGTGGCTGCATCGACCACATATTCACCATTCGTCAGATTCTAGAACACAGGGATACTTATCGACGTCCGACAATGGTGGTCTTTCTCGACTTAAAAGCAGCATTTGACTCGGTAGACCGCGAGATTCTGTGGCAGTGTCTGTCATTGAAAGGCGTACCCCATAAGTACATAAACCTTGTAAAGGCTCTTTACTCGAACACTACTAGTCGAGTCAGAGCTCATGGCGAACTGTCATCTACTTTTGCAACCTCAAATGG